AAAGGAATGTTGTTCAGATCTCCCGCATGTTTATCTGGTTAACTATACTGAAAAGAATGTTATTCAGATCTCCCGCATGTTTATCTGGTTAACTATACTAAAAGGAATGTTGTTCAGATCTCCCGCATGTTTATCTGGTTAACTATACTAAAAGGAATGTTGTTCAGATCTCCCGCATGTTTATCTGGTTAACTATACTAAAAGGAATGTTATTCAGATATTTCATGCTATACAACATATATTGCCCCTTTGTTAGCTGAAGAAGAGTATCAATGCATAAGATAATATACTACTTATTTTTGCTGTTATTTAGTAGTGGCCCCTCAGTGGCACATGGGTATGTCTGAGGACTTACAACGCTAGAAACCGGGTTTCAATACTCGTGGTGGGCAGAGCACAGATAGCCCTTGTGTAGCTTTGTGCATAATTAAAAAACAAAACAAACAAACAATCCTTAGTAGTGAACTATGAAAAAGTAATACAGTATTTACCTTTGTTATTGATTCGCATACGTGACCTGAGTTTGCATGGAAGCTGTTCAACACAGCTTTTTTTTTTGCGTGAATAGTTTTATACCGTGAATAAGACAGACATTTTTGATGATGTTCTCCTATGTGGAACTTTGTCACTCATTTTTGGAGACACAGGTTTTTATTAAGCTTGTAGCGCTGTTGATCTACTAGATGAAGTAACTTGTAACATTACCTTTTTTACCACTAGCGGCGTAAAAACTCCGGAAACGCAGTGAGACGACAATTACAAAACATATGATTGGCATTAAGGTGCAGTAAAATTATTCAAATAATATTTCAATGTTTTAATAATGTAAGAGAAATCTTCTTGTAGCTTTATGGTTTTGTTTGAAATGGCAAGTCACAGACTGAGCATTCTCTGAAGGTATGGACCAGATTCAATTAGATTAGTACACCTGGTAGGGCGTTAACCTGGTGGTTAGTGTGCTAGGCTACGTATCGGAAAGTGCAAGGCTTAAGCCGTAATATATTGCTGAATAATCTCCGCACTTTCAGCTGTTGAAATGTTTATATATAATTATTATATTCAGTTTCTATATACTATTCGTAACAAGCCTAGTTATGCAAGGTTTTTCAGAATCGATAAGTTGTATTTTTGGTATTTGAAATAAAAATGTGACTAAAAGGTGAAAGAAGACAGTGAGTTATAATTATATAGTCACATTGTTACTATGTCAAAGTGACTCTGAGCCGTGTAACCACACTGTTATGTCAACGTGTGTCTGAACCGCGTATCCACATTGTTGCTATGTCAACGTGTGTCTGAGCCGTGTATCCACATTGTTGCTATGTCAACGTGTGTCTGAGCCGTGTATCCACATTGTTGCTATGTCAACGTGTGTCTGAGTCGCGTATCCACATTGTTGCTATGTCAACGTGTGTCTGAGTCGTGTATCCACATTGTTGCTATGTCAACGTGTGTCTGAGTCGTGTATCCACATTGTTGCTATGTCAACGTGTGTCTGGGCCGTTTATCCACACTAGTGCTATGTCAACGTGAGTCAGAGTGAGCCGTCTATCTACATTGTTGCTATATCAACGTAAGTCTGCATGATTCGTATATCCACATTATTAATATGCGCTCCAACGATGTAGCAACCGCATGGAGATCACTACATGAACTTTCTCTTGTCACAGTATTGACCAAGACACACAGTAGTGTGTCTTGCGGCAAAAAACAACAACAACAAAAAAACTACAGGACACACTGTTTGTTATTAACAGGAGTAATAGTTTAGCAAGTTTTACACTTTACATAGCTCGAACTGTGGTAATCCAAACTATCACATATTATCCGCGGATCTGCTCTACTGGACTCTTGCTTCACATACCAAATTTCAACGCAATCTATTAAGATTTTGATTGAGTTTTTTCCTTTTTTTTTTATTAACACCAAAAGTACGGAAACTTTATTTGATAGAAAAACATACTTAACTTTTGTGGATTTTATTTTTCAATTTTGGTACACTAACAGATCTTTACAAACTACGGCCCAAAGTTGAACAAAACACGCGGCCTGGCTAACTAATGAATGAATATTTGCTGTAAAGTACGTATTAATGCTATAAGTGTAGTTACCGGTTTGAGCGCCAATTTTGATTTCATTCCTTTTAATCGCACCTTCAATCCTTTTTTGGCCGCACTTTTTTTCACGCCTAAGGTGTTTTTGATTAGATAAGTTTAACGTAAAGCATTTTTGTAGACTTTTTTTTTTTCCCGCAAATGCGTTATGAACCTTAATTTGGGATTTAGTTAAAATATGGGCAAAATTCAATGTTTTAGAAATCACATATTTAAGATTGCCGACTTTATTGGAATTTTAAGAATTAAATAATATTGAAATAATACCAATACATTTCGTTTATGTAACAGTCCATGTCTGAATAATTTGAATGTCTCCACTTTGAGTAACTTGCATCTGACTAGTATTACTGACTTGTATTACTGGATTCATGTGCCCAAAAAGTTCTTTTCGACACTATCTTTACTGTTGTAATGACATTTCTGATGTACACATGGTGTCAGACGTACATACCC